GACGATCACGGACGCCGCGAAGTCGACCGCGACGATCGCCGTCGTCGACCGCGGGGCGGGAACAGGGTGTCGCTTCAACGTGCGTGGTCCGCGCGCGCGCGTTCCGGGAAAAGCATCCAGGCTTCGAGATGATCGCTCGTCCAAACGTCGGCCGAAACGAGCGGCACGCGGCCGAGAGAGGCGCCCTTGGGACGTTCGCGACCGTTCGCGGCCCAGGTCGAGGACGACCGCGGCGACTGCGTGCCGCTGACGCTCTACAACGCGCTGGCGCCCGACGTCTCCCTGCGGGAGGCGCAGGCCCACTTCCCCAAGGGCACGCGCCTCGCCGTCAAGGAGCCCTACCTCAAGCTCAGCAACGCGGGCACCTGTGTGGAAATCAACCACTGGTTTGGGTCCCCACCAAACTTCAGAACTCTCTAGCTCGATCAAATCGAAGTCGATTTGGCTGACTTTTGGACGAGTCGATTGCTCTCGACGAGTTCTCGAAGCTCAGCCGAAGATTCCGGCGCAATTCGTTCAATTACGCGCACATTGAAGTCGGGTTGAAGATTTGATTTCCACACAGGCGGGCACGCTGACCGTCCGCGTCGACGACCCGCACAACCTCGTCGTCGTCCACAAGCCCGGCGACGGCGACGACGAGCTCTTCGACCCGGAGGCGCTCAAGGCGCGGGGCAACGACCACTACCGGCGGCGGCGCTACGGCCGCGCGGCGGACTGCTACGGCGCCGCGCTCGAGTTGGACGCCGCGCGGCGCGCGCGCGCGCGCGGCGCCGTCGCCGCGGGCGCGGCGCGCGGCGGCATCCCCGTCGACGTCGACGCGGACGACGCGGCGCTGGAGCTCGCGCTCCTCGCGAACCGCGCGGCCTGCCGCGTCGCGCTGGGCCGCTACCGCGCGGCGTCCGACGACTGCGACGCCGCGCTCCGGCTGAGGCCGGGCCACGAGAAGGCGACGTACCGCAAGGCCCTGGCGCTCACGGGGGCCCTGCGCCACGGCGCCGCGTTAGCGCTCCTCCGGGGGCTCGCGCTCTCCGCGCCGGGCCGCTACGCGGCCCGGGTCGCCGAGGTCGAGGCGCGCGCGCGCAACGACGGCGGCGCCTTCGACCTCGGCGCCGTCGCGGCCGCGGTCGTCGCCGCGGAGGCCTCCGCGGCGGCGGCGGGGCTCGCGCCGGAGCGGGCCGTCGCCGACGCGACGGCGCCCGTCGCGCCGTTCCTCAAGGGCGTCGACGTCGCCGCGCGCCGCGGCCGCCGCGGCGCGTTCGCGGCGCGCGACTTCCGCGCGGGCGACGTCGTCCTCGTCGAGCGCGCGGTCGCCTTCAGCCGGCCGCGCGACGCCGGCGCCGGCGGCCTCGTCCACGACCCGGCGACGGGCGAGACGCACGGCGCGGCCGTCGACGACGTCGCCGCGAGCCTGGCCTACGCGCTGCCCGGGCGCCCCCTCGTCGCCGCGCGGCTCGCGGCGCTCGCGGCGGACCACGAGGTGCCCCGCGACGAGCTGCTGCGCTACGACGACGCGGAAGTCCGGGAGGGCGAGGCCCGCGGCGACCCCGGCCTCGACGAGCTCCGCGCGTTGGTGCGGCGCAGGGCAGCACAAGAGAGCGACATTCCCAACTTCAAAGGCTCCTATCTCGGCCGTTTTCCACTCGTTTCGGCTGAATTTTGGACGAGCGATCATCTCTCGGGACGGTCTCGCAGCGTGGATGCTTTTGTCGGAACGCGCGCGCGCGGAACACTCACGTTGAAGCGACGTTGAATCACCCTTTTGCTGCCCAGGTGCGGCGCCACGCGCTCGCGCTCCGCCTCGCGGACGACGCGCCCGGCGACGACGTCCGCGCGCGGGCCTTCCAGGGCGCAGCGCTCTTCGTCGTCGCCGCCTTCCTCAACGCCGACGACGACGCGACGACCGTGCCCACGGTCCTCGGCGACCTCCTCGTGCTCCACGCGACGCGCGACGTCAGACGCGGCGACGAGCTCACGCGCGCGACCGCGGACCCGGACTTCGGCCGCAACGACGACTGCACCTGGGTCTGCGCGACGTAAGGGGGGTCGGGGTTTAACGGTCGGGGCGGTCATATGACCCGTCGCAGGCTCGGATCACCCGGCCGGGCCGCAGCCGGCGGCGGATACTGTCATGGAAGCCATCGAACGCGATTATCACGCGCCTACATCTCGGCGGCGATTTTGTCGCGCAGCTCACGGACCTTTTCATCCCAGTCATCGGGTAAATTGGGCGCGCGGGCGGCCGCGAGTTCGCACAAGCGTCGCGCTTCTACCAAGTCTTTGTCCACGCCGAAGCCGGTAAGGTACATTCGGGCGAGAAGCAGGTGGGCGGCCATCTTGCCTTGCTCTGCGCTGAGCTTCATGAATCGGAATGACTCCTTCCTTTCTGCTTCATCCGTTTCTTGATCATCAAGTCCACGGGTCATGAGGCAAAGAGCAAGAAAGTACTGCCCGCTCGAGCTCCCAGTGTCCGCGGCCATCCGAAACAACTCCAACGCTTTCGTCCTGTCCAGTCTGACCGGCCGTTCATTACCGTCGCCTTTGTCGTACAAGCGTCCCAGATCCAACATCGCCTCGACCACTCCAGCGTCGGACGCGCGCTGGTAGAGCCTCACGGCCTTCTTCCCGGACTTCTTGAGACCGAGTTTGCCATGGAGGTATGCACCTGCCAGCTTATGCAGCGCTTCTGGAACATCGTTGTCAACATGGCGAAGGAGCCGAACCAGACACTCTTTGACAGAAATTGGCCAGGGCGCGCCACAGAGAGCACATGGTTTTTTTACTAGCTGCTCATGACACGACGTACATATCCGCCGGCAACAACAGAACATAAGCGACGTTCTCGGGATATTCACATCCCAGTCTTCGTAGCAGATCGGACACCGCGCCCCGAATCGCGCCGACGTCGGCTCGTGCTCCGGGTTCGCCTCGCGCCGCGCGCGGGCGGCCTCGTGCTCCGCGGCGATGCGGGCGCGAACCTCGTCGGCGTGCGACCGCGGCGCGGGGCCGTAGAAGACCTGCTTCGGCGGTGACGACGGGGGCGTCGGCGCCGGGGCCCGAATCTGCTTGCACACCTTCCGATGGCCCCGCTCGCGCCAGTCGACCTTTTGACAGGCCACAGAGCAGTAGGCGGTCGTTTTGCACGGACATCGGAGCTTAGAGAGCTCACCACAGATTGTGCATGTTTTGAGGGCTAGGAGTTCCTTGGTCCGCGCTTTCTGGGCCTCGTACTCTCGCTTCTTTTTCTCTAGGGCGGGGTCCATCTCACGCGTGACGAGGAGACGGCGAGACGATGAGGGGACGCTCGCTCAAAACTCTTGTGGACGCTTTGCGGTCAAGGGCGTCCGCGGGGGGGCAAGGCGCCGCCGAGGCTATGGAGGCGGCGTTGAAATTGCTGATCGTCGTCGCGACGCTCGGCAGCTCGCGCGCCTACAACGGGACGGCTCGCCGCCTCGAGGGCGACGGCTCGCCCGCCTTCCTCGCCATCGGCAGTTTCGACGAGAGCCACGCCGCGCGCCGGGCCCTGATCCGTCGGACCTACGCCGCCGGCCTGGCGCCGATGGCCGACTACGCCTTCTACGTCCAGAACGCGTCGGCGGCGGAGCTGCGCGACGCGGGCGACGTCGTCGCGGCGCCTCACGCCGACGTGTCGCGCTGCGGCTTCGCGGCCGAGGGCAAGGCCTGCCGGTCGGGCGAGGTCTTTTTAGCCGGCCTCGAGGACTACCTCCGCCGCTCGACGAGGCCCTATGTCTTGGCCATCGACGACGACGGCTTCCTGTGCCGCGCGGCGTTTCAGCGGGCCGCGAAAATGCTCGTCCGCCGGGGCAAGACCGAGGGCTTCGTCGGCGGCACGTGGCAGCGCAAGGGCAAAGACCTCGTGCGGCCGGACCAGAACTTCGTGCTCCTGAGCCGCGACGTCGCGACTAAGGCCGCGGCCGCGCTGCGGAAAGCCTTTGCGGCGCTCGGCGCTTCCCATAAAACCGGCACGCGCGACGCGGCGAAGCTCCTCGCGGCCCAGCGCTTCGCCATGGACCTGCGGGACGCCGTACTCCACCCGCACCACAACTCGCTCGCGCTCCTCTACCAGCGGGAGCGGCCCGGCGGCGGGAGCTTCCGGGGAAAAGCGGAGCCGCTCTGCGCGCGGCGCGCGTGGGTCCACCTGTGCTGCTCGTCCGGCGGCACGGCCGCGCTCTGGGAGGACCTCCAGCGCGGCGCCGACGCGGCGCAGGGGTCGTCGTACCCCCTCGTGCGCGGGTTCCGGAAGTTGACGGCGAAGGACGCGTTCCTGCCGCGGAAGGTCGAGCACTGCGGCGCGAAGCTCGCGACAAAGTCGTGCATACACTGCAAGGCCTCCGCGGATCCGCCGGAGGTCGCGCGGACCTGCGCGTCGGAAACCGCGCCGCGCCTCGTCTTCTGGCACCTCGAGAAGGCCGGCGGCGAGTACGTCATCTCGGAGCTGCGGCGCGCGCTCGGAGGCACGGACGCGTTCGACGTCGTCGACGAGCACTCCGTGCTCACCGCGGCCCGGCGCGAGCACAGCTTCACCGTCGGCGTCTCGCGCGAGCCCTGCGACTACTACGTCTCGGCGCGGGCCTGGGGGAAGACGGGCCGGGCGGATTTCGGGCTCCCGGGCCCCGAGACGGCGGACCACGGCAAGGGCTGGTTCGCGCTGGCCGTCGGCGCGAAAGACCCGGCGGAGTGGCGCGACGTCTACGGCGACGGCCCCGGCGCCTTCGCCGCCTGGCTGCGGCGCGCGTCGCCGGAGCGCGATGGCCCGCGCTGCGGCCTCCTGTCCATGCGGCTCTATACGGCGGTCGTCGCGCCGGAAGCCGCGGCCTCCATCAACCCGCCGGGCTGCGAGAACGCGCGGCCGGCGATCGCCGCGGGTGTGGGCTGCCCCTGCCCCCTCGCGGACTGCGCGGGCGCGGCGAATGACGCCCAGCACGCGGCCTGCGCGGCGGCCCTCGAGACCGCGGATCCGGCGGCGCTCTTCGACTGCCGGCTCCGCCTCGAGGCCGTCGACGCGGACCTCGCCGCGTGCCTCCGCAGATTCGAGGCGCGCGGCGGCGCCGTGGCGCATCCAAAGCCCGCCGGCGGGCCGCCGCCGAGCCGCGAGCGGCGCCACGCGGGCGACCGCGGGAGTTGCGGCGACGCGCACGACGCCGAGACGCGCGCGCTCGTCGCCGCGTCCGACGGCGCCTACGCGAGGCTCTTCGGCTACGAGGGCCGCTGCTGCGGCGGCGGCGCGGCGCAACCGGTCGCGCCGCCGTTGACGAAGACGTGCGTCGCGCTCCACGCGCAGCACAAGTCCGCCGGGAACACGTTGAAGCGGACGCTCGACGCGCACGCGCCCGCGTTCCTCGGCGCCGTCGGCGCGTTCGCGCGCTGCGACGACGCGAACTTCGACTGGGCGTCGAAGCGCTGCCCGGACCTCGATCCCGCCGCCGGCGCGAACCGCTGGCTCAACGGGGGCTACGCGCTGTCGCACGCGGCCGCGGGCCCGAGCTGCGCCTGGATCACGAATTTCCGCGAGCCCGTCGCCCGCCTCGTCTCGGCCCAGTTCCACTGCACGCTCCACGACCACGACCCCCTCTGCGGCGACCGGCCGGCGGCCTGGTTCGCCGCCGCGAACGCGTCGCGGATGGCGCGGTACTGGGGCAACTTCGGCTTCACGAACCTGCTGCTCGCGCCGCGCTTCGCGGGAACCGCGGCGCCGCGGCGCGACATGCGCGCGCGGCGCCGGGACGGCGCCCCGAAGGTCTGGCAGCGGTGGCGGGCGGCGCTGGGCGGCGGCGACGACCCGCGGACCGAGGCCGGCGCGGCGAACCTCCGGCGCGTCGTCGCCGCGCTCGGCGACCTCTTCGACGTCGTCGTCGTCGTCGAGCGGTGGGAGGACTCCATGGCCCTGCTCGACTGCCGCGTGCCGCTGCGCGACGGCACCTGGGCGGACCTCGCGGGCGCCCACCTGAACACGCACGGCAGCGAACAGCACGGCGACCGCGCGGCGGCCGCGCTCGCGGTCGCGCGCGCCGACCCGGCGGTGGCGGAGGAGATCGCAGCGGACACAGCAATCTACTCGGCCGCGCTGGCGCTCTTCGAGCGCATGCGCGCGAGCACGGAGGCCTGCGCTTCCTAGCTTGGTGTTTTTGTTGAAGTAAAGATGCTTTGTTGCACTGCCACCGTGAATGAGAGCATGCGGAATGGCTTGGGTAGCCCTCTGAATCGGCTGCCTATACACGGAGCTGATGGCTTGGGTAGCCCTCTGAATCGGCTCTGCCTCCAGTGATGGCGGCCTTCGTCGTGAAGGCAAAGAAGGGCGCGATCGTGCGCGCCGCCTGCGCGCTGGCGTCGGAGAAGGTGGACGCGCTCGCCTGCGGGACGGCTGTGACGGTGGCGGAGACCGTCGAGACGAATGGCGGGATGCGCTGCCGCCTCGCCGCGCCCGTCGCGGGCTGGTGCTCCCTCAAGGTCCTGGAGGCCGTCGAGGCGGCGCTGGAACCGATCGCGCTGGCGTCGGGCGCGTCGCTCCACGTCACGGATCGCTCCGCGGAGGCCGCGCCGCCGCTCGCGCGCGTCTCGTGGGAGATGAAGCACTACCAGAAACGGTGCGGCGCCCTCCTGCGCGAGCTCGACGAGGGCACGGCCGGCGCGTCGCGCGACCAGCTCTTCGACCACCTCGTCGTCCAGCACATCGGCGAGCGGGACCGGCCGTTCCAGCGCTTCGAGGGCATTCCGCTCGAGACGTACGACTCGCGCGACGCCGGCGTTCCCGCGAACGACGCGAAATAAGAACGCGCGAAACCGTAGGGACAAGGTCGACGACGAGGAGGCGATCATGTGGGTCCAAATGGCGGGACAGATCGCCCCCCGGCCGACCGCGGCCGCCAAGGCGGCCAAGGACGGCGTCCGCCAGCGCGTCGCGACGTTGGCCGGCGCGCGCTGCGTGGTCCTGGAGCGCCAGGTCCTCGACGCCGACGGCGCCGACGCGACGCCCGCCGCGAGCCTCGCGTGCGTGCTCGCGCACGGCGCGGACGTGCTCGGCGACGACCTGTTCTCGCTCGCGCATCGACTGGCCAAGGCGCTGCCGCCGGGCGTGCGGTTCGTGTTGCCCGAGGCCGGCCGCGAAGTACGACGCGCGAAGCTCAAGCACAAGCCCGCGATCCCCGAGCAGCCCTGGCAGCGCGCGCCGCGGCGCTGGTTCTCGGGCGCCGGAGACGTCGACGACGCCGTCGACCGCTTCGCGCGCGCGGCCTCGGCCGCGGCCGACGGCGCCGCCCTCGTCGTCGGCGGGTTCTCCCAGGGCGCCGTCGTCGCGGCGGCGGCGGCGGGCCGGCTCGCGCCGGCGGGCGTCGTCTTGCTCGCGCCGCCGGCGTTCAACGACGCTTGGATCGCGCCGCCCGCCGCCGCGCGCGCGCTCGTCGCCGTCGGCGCGTCGGACGACGTCGCCCCGAGGCGCCACGGCGAGCGCCTCGCGACGCTGCTCGCGAACGGCGGCTGCGACGCGGAGCTCGTCGTCCACGGCGGCGGGCACGAAGTCACGCTCGCGGTCGTCGACGACGTCGCCGCGTTTCTGCGACGCGCGCTGCCGCCCTAGTCCGCGCCGTAAGAAGGGCCGACCCGCGAAGCCGCTCCGTGCGCGGGGTACACCAGTCGCGTCTTAGGACCTTCGCCCCGGGGAGCGCGGCGGAGCATGGTGGGCGCGGGAGCCCGTCCGCGCCCGTCCGCCGCGCGTCGAACCGCCGACGCTCGCGTGGTCGCCTAGAAGAGGCCGGAGACGTCGATGGAGAAGTCGTTGGAGAAGGGGATCATGACGTTGCCGGAGTACTCCGGGAAGCCCGCGATCGCGGAGAGCACGGGCGTCGCGTCGTGGGAGGGGAGCGACTGCGCGAGGAGGGAGATGAGGCCGAGCATGGCGAGGCGGCCGTTGTTGATCTCGACCTGGCGGCCGCGCGCCTTCTGGGCCTCGTCCTGCTCCGGGAAGATGTCGAAGGGCTTGTAGAGGTTGAGGCTGATCTGGCCGCCGCCGCCGCCGACGATGGGCGGGTAGTAGCCCGGGAGGCCGCCCTTGGTGTAGTGGACGTAGCCGTCGGGCTGGCCCGCGCCCTCGCCGTAGGACTCGAGCATGCCGACGAAGACGAGGATCTGGAGCTTGCCGATGAGGGGGATGTTGTCCCACTGCTCCTGGGGGCTCACGTTCTCGACGAAGCCGCGGTAGGGCGGCGTCGGGTAGGTGAGGGACTCGCCGCGGTAGCGGTAGGGGAGGCTGTGCTCGCCGGCGACGAACGGCGTCGACTGCGCGCAGAAGCCGAGGAAGCCCGCCATCGCGACGCGGCCGTGCTTGATCTCCGCGTGGCGGAGGTAGCCGATGGTGCCCTCCTCGCCGAGGCCCCAGAAGTCGAGGTTCGTCACGCCGAGGGGGTCCCAGAAGCCGAGCGTCGAGCCGAGGAAGTCGCCGTTCGCCTCCGCGAGCGCCTCGAGCTCCGCCTTCGAGTTGAGCGACGACGCGGATTTCGGCGCCTGGGGCGCGACGTAGGCGGCGGCGGTGCCGCAGAGGGCGAGGGCGACGAGGAGGCGGGCCTGCGGAGGGACGACGGGTCGGCGCGAGCGCTCGCCGGCAGCTTCGATGCAGCTGCTTGCAGCGTATCGCCGATCAGGGCCGCCGCGCGGATCTCTCTTTGCCCCGCGGCTGCGCCCACTCTCGCAGGGCGCTTGCGCAAGGGTGAGAGCGTCGCGCGCGCGTCGCGCGTGTGCGCGCCTGCGGCTGGACGCGGAAAGCGACCATTGTTGAGGCTGGTGCGATATATCGATCGGTGGGCTCGTGGACGAGGATCCAGTCGAGGATCCCCTGCATCCCCGGCCAAAGTCGCCTTCATTGCGGAGGCATCATCGCCCTGGAGCTGCCCGCGCTCGACGCGATGCGGCCGCGGTCGGCCATCACGCTCGCGGCGCTCTGCGCCTTGGCGACGCTGCCCCTCTGGTCGCTGCAGAAGCGGCCGCCGCCGGCGGGCCCGCCGCCGGCGCTCGTCGAGCTCGCGCGCGCCCAGGGCCGGGCCATCGTCGACCTGCGCGACGGCCTCGAGCGCTACACGGCGGCGACGGAGCGGCTCCGCGACTCGCCGCAGCGGCCGGCCGCGGCGCCGCCCGCGCCGCGCGAAACCGCGGCTCGAGCGCCGCCGGTTGAAACGAAACCGCCGCCGCCGCCGCCGGCCGGGGGGATCACGTTCGCGCACGTCATCAATCCCATGCCGGCCGGCCACGGCCTCCACGCGGACGTCGAGGTGACCTTCGCGTCGCTGGAGCGCGCGAAGCGCTACGCCGAGGCGCGGGGGATCCGCGTCGTGCAGCTCACGGCGGAGTACGCGGGCGACGCGCGGATCCCGCGGCCACCGTCGTTCGTCGCGACGCGGAATTTGACGCGGCACGCGCACGGCTGGGCCGAACTCAAATCTTCAACCCGACGTCAATGTGCGCGTATGCGACCGTTTTGACACGAGCGCTTCTGTCGTGCTTCGAGAACTCGATGAGAGCAATCGATTCGTCCAAAAGTCAGCCGAATCGACTTCGATGTGACCGAGCTCGAGAGGTTTGAAGTTTGGTCAGGACCCCCTGAGACAGTGGTTGATTTCGGCGCAGGCGCACGGCGCCTACGACATGGGCGCGCGGGGCGTCAAGCTGCGCACGCTGCCGCTGATCTCCGACGTGCTGGAGCTGGCCTACGAGGCGACGGCGGAGCTCGAGCCCGGCGGCGACGCGTGCGAAAACGCGCGGAGTCGGCGGTCCGTGTTCCTGGGGTACACGAACGCGGACATCGGCGTCCAGGAGGACTTTTACGTCGTCGCCGCGGGCCTCGCGAAGACGGCCGACTCCTTCGTCATCAACCGCGTCGAGGTGCCCGACGCGAAGCCCGACGGGTCGCCCTACGGCGCCGCGGACCTCGAGGCGATCTACGCGCTCGGCAAGAAGAACCCGCAGAAGCACCCGGGCTACGACTGCTTCTTCTGGCGCCGCGACGCGACGCCCGCCGTGCGCCTCTACGCGCGGGGCGTCTTCGTGGGCTACCCGCCCGTGGGCAAGCACCTCACCGCGGCGATGCAGTGCGCGGCGAACGGCAAGGGCGGCTACCGCGAGGTCCGCGGCAAGCGGCACACGTTCCACCTCGGCGACCGCAACGGCGGCTGGACGACGCTGACGGAGTACGAGCACTACAACCGCAAGGCCGCGAAGCGCGCGCCGGCCGACTTCAACCGCGTCGCCTCCTGCGGCGCGGCGCGGAAGGCCCTGGACGGCGACGCGGCCGCGCGCTGCCGCATCGACGCGGAGCTCGACGCGCGGCCCTTTTCGCGGTGGGACGTCCCCGGGGCCGAGTGGCCGCCGAAGGAGAAGCGGCGGCGCTAAGGGGGGCGCTCCTTAGGTGAGGGGCTTCCGGGCCGTGAAGAAGATGCACTCGTAGTCCGTGTTCATCATGGACCGCGCGTTCGCCGTGTAGGTGCAGTGGCGCCACTCCTCGTTGAGGAGCTCGAAGCCCCGCGCCTCGATGGCGTGCTTGAGCTCCTCCCAGCTCAGCTCGATGGACTGCGCGTAGCGGTCGTCCATGCCCGCGCCCTCGAGGTCCGCGGACGACGACGGCACCCAGTGGTAGAGCAGGGGGCCCAGGTTGATCCAGTAGCCCCCGGGCTCGAGGAGGTCGAAGATGGCGTCGACGTACTCGAGGGCCACGGGCGCCGTGTCCACGAAGAAGCAGCTCAGCACGCCGGCCCACTCGCCGTCCTGCCCCCGGTAGACCTCGAGGAACTCGCCCGCGGCCATGGAGAAGTCCACGGGCGCGTCGCAGGGCGGCGCGCCGTGGAGCAGCGCGTCGGGGGACACGTCGGGGATGCGCACGGCGCGGAGCCGGTCGCCGCTCTGCTTGACGTTCGACGGCTGGTCGACGTAGGGGTACAACGCCACGGACCGCGGGTCGAGGTGGCTGTTGAGGATGAAGTTGGACACGAGGAGCATGTGGTAGCTGAACTCGTTGCCCTGGGCGCCGTAGCCCGCGGCGGCGACCTCGAGCACGAGCCGCGCGAGGCCCGCGCCCGGCACCAGGATCCGCTGCCGGTTCCGGTTGCCGTCGTCGACCGGGAGGCGCGCGCGCAGCTCGTCCACGAGGGGCCCGTAGCACGCCGCGCGCTCCGCGGCGCCCTCGTCGCTCCAGTCGCGCGCGCAGGAGTGGAGCGTGCTCCGCACCTTGCTGAAGTCGGCCTCGCGCGGCGTGCTCCGCGTCGGCGGCCCGCCCGCGTCCGCGGCGGCGGCGGCGCGCGCGGCGGCGTCGCCGCCCTCGGCCTCGGGCGGGCCGAAGGAGCCCTGGTTCTCCACGACCTGCGAGCGGGGGGCCGCGGTCGCGGTCGCGCGCGGCGCGGCCGCCGCGGGGCGCCGCGCGACGCGCGGCCGCGAGGAAGGAGCCGTTGGCGGCGGCGGCGGCGCGCAGGCCCGCGACGCGCCGCTCGAGGCTCCGCGGCGGCAGGAGCCGCTCGAGCTTCGGGTGCAGCCGCTCGCTCGCGCGCCGCGTGCGCTCGGCGTCGGCGCCGGCCACGCGCTCGTAGCCCCGGAAGCTGCCGACGACGCGCTGGAAGTGGAACTGCTCCTCGTCGTTGAGCGCGTCCTCCTCCTCGCGCGACGGCGGCGGCGGCGGCGGCCGGTCCATTGCCGGTGCGCACAAACTATTGGCCCTTTTGTGGAGCCGTGAGCGAGGGGGTGGCTGCCCGCGGCCGCCGACCTTGACCCGCAACCCCGGCCCGCCGACGATCCGTTCGGATGACACGCGCAAACAACCACCGAAACTTTCAAGGCAACGCCGGGGGTCCGTATCCTAGCACGGCACGGTGCCGCGAGTTGTTACGAGTTTGTTGCGCGCTAGAGCCGGGGCTGCCTCGGTCGCGTCGCACCCCGCGGAGCCGAGCCGAGGCCCGCACTTCGGACGCTAGACAGGACCGTCCACCGGCGAAGAGCACCGACGCGCCATGGCGAACCGGGGCCGCGGGACCCTCACCGTGCGCCGGAGTGACAACCCCTTCTTCCAGCCGTCGTCGCAGACCGTGGGCGAGGACTTCAGCGAAGAGATCGTCTACAACGCGCCCACCGTGGAGCGCGTGGGCCGGCCCAAGAAGCTCGAGGACGACTACGAGTTCGGCTTCCTCTACAAGCGCGCGTCCGAGGACATCGGCCGCGGCATCGACCCGTCCGACAGCCGGCTCTCGCGCGCGATGGCCCAGGGCGACACGCTGCGCGACATCGCCAAGATGAAGACGGGGGGCATCGAGAAGCCCACGGGCGACGACGACGGCGCCCCCGAGCTCAGCGGCACCCTGCGCGCGGAGCGCATCCTCGACCGGTACCACCACGAGCCGCGCGCCGAGCACACCATGTACCAGACGACGAACAACCAGTACGGCATCCAGCGGCCCACGGTCGCCACCTTCACGGCGGACCGCCAGGCCCGGTCCCAGAAGTTCTCCAACAGCTTCAACGGCATCAAGTTCCGCGACCAGGGCCTCAACACGTCCCTCGTCCGGTCCACGGTCCACAACTCCCTCGACCTGTTCTAGGGCGCCGAAAGACGGCCCTAAGGTTCCACGCGACCACGCATCATCGTCGCGCGCCGGGCCGCGACTTCAGCGCCTCCGTGAGGCGCTTCCGGTCGTGGCTGAAGGGGCACGACGCGCCCTGGTTGCAGCGGCCGCGCGCGTAGTGCTCGCAGAGGGGCGCGTCGCGCTTGACGAGTTTGCCGACGTCCCGGTCGCCGGGGCGGAAGTCGTGGGAGAAGGGGCAGCTCGCGCCCTTGCCGCAGGCGCCCCGGTAGTGGTACTGGCACGGCGCCCTCGCCGGCGCCTCGTGGAGGAAGGGGCAGTCGGCGCCGCGCGTGCAGAGGCCCTTGGCGAAGAAGGAGCAGGGCAGCAGCGTCGCTTTGGTGTCGCGCGTCGCGGGCGCGCAGCGCGCCGGCTCCTCGGCGGCCTTCGCGACGGCGGCCGCGAGCGCGGGATCCGGCGCCGGCGCCGGCGCTACGGCCGCCGCGGCGAGCACGGCGGTCCAGGCCGCGCGCGCCATCGTCGTCGCGTCGCCGAGGATCGTCAGCGTCTTCTTCGCGCGCGAGAGCGCGACGCAGACGCGGCGCGGGTCCGCGCAGAAGCCGAGGTCGCCGAGCTGGTTCGACCGCACGGTGTTGACGAGGACGTGGTCCGCCTCGGAGCCCTGGGACGCGTCGACGCTCACGACCTTCGCGGCGAGCCCGGGGTCGGGCAGCGACCGGACGACGACGTCGCGCTGGCGCTTGTAGAACGTGATGACTTTCACGGAGTCGCCCGGATGCTCGCGCGCCGTCGCCGCGAGCCAGTCGACGACGGCCGCCGCCTCGGCGACGTTGTACTTGGACGTGCCGCTGCCCTGCTCCCGCGAGCCCGCCACGTCGAGCCAGACGATCGGCGCCGCGGCGCCTCGCTTCTCGGGCGCCGTCCCGATCGCGCCGCCGTAGAATAGATTCGACACGAGCGTCGCGACGTTCTCGGGCATGCGGTACTGCTCGTCGAGTAAATGGACGACGTCCGCCGTCTCGCGCGCCCGTTCGAGCAAGCTCCGGTTCGCGCGCTTCGTCACGACCTCGTCGAGGCTCCCGCACATGACCAGCGGCGGCAGCTGGTTGTGGTCGCCGAGGAGGACGAGGTTCTCGGCGCCGCAGGAGAGGATCTGCGGGACGTAGGTCTCGGGCGTCGCGCCCGCATCGTCGAGGACCACCGTGTGCAGGGGCTCGCCGCCCTCGAAATAGGCCGCCGCCGCGTCGAGGCGATGCAGCGAGGCCACCGTGCACAGGAAGATGGTCGTAGAGGAAAGAATCTTCGCCGTCGCGCGCTCGACGGCGGCGTCGAGCGCCGCGACGAGCGACGCCAGGACGTCCCGCGGCGCGACGCCGCGCGCCTCGAGCGCGGCCCGCGCCTCGGCCACGGCCGCGTCGCCGTCGACGAGGGCCTGGAGCAGGTAGTTCCGCGACGTCGCGCCCGCGTGGTCCTTGGACCCGAAGGCGACGAACGTTTCGCCGGCGCCGTCGAGCTTCGAGGCGACCGCGTCGACGGCCTGGTTCGTGACGCAGGTCACGCAGGCGCGCCGGCCCTCGGGCACGCGCGCGCGGACGATGCCTAAGATCGTCGTCGACTTGCCCGTGCCCGGCGGCCCGTGGATGATCTCGAGGCGCCGCCGCAGCGCCTCCGCGGCGCCGCGCTGCGACGCGTTGAGGTCGTCGAGGCCGCCGCGCGGCGCGCCGAACGTGCCGTCGCGCGCGTCGCCGGGGTCCAGCACCATGGCGACGAGGTCCGGCTCCGCCTCGCGCCAGCCGCCGCGCGCGGCCGCGAAGCGCGCCGCGTAGTCCGCCGCGAAGACCAAGACGCGGACGCTCCTGCCGTCGAGCGCCGTCGCGTCGCCGGCGGCGTCGAAGCCGCTCAGGGCGTAGGCCGCGGCGCCGAGCCGCGTGCACCGGCTCACCCAGAGGAGCGCGTCGTCGTCGTCGGCGACGACGCAGTTCTTGAACGTCTCGTAGGCGGTCTCGCCGCAGCGCCAGCGGCCGCCGTCGTGGACGAGCTTCGGGCCGCCGGGCCGCGCGAGCGCCTGCGCGACGGCCGCGCAGAGCTCGGCCTTGACGTTCCGCGCCATCGTCGCGAAGTAGTCCTTGGGCGCGTCGAAGCGGACGGCCACGTGCGCGAAGGGCGGCGGCGGCGCCTCCGCGCAGGCCGCGAGCAGCTCCGTGCGCAGCTTGCCGGGCGCGCTTGACCACATGGCGATCAGCAGCGATCAGCAGCGGTGCTCGATGCTAGGCGACGCGATGCGACGCGACGCGATGCCGAACAGCGATTGCGATGCCGAACAGCGATTGCGATGCGGTCGCAGCAGCGACGGTGCTCGATGCTAGGCGACGCGACGCGACGCGACGCGACGCGATGCCGTCGAGCGCATGCACATCTCCATTGCGCGATGTTGCGCGATGTTGAAGTCAATTTGCAGCACTCCAAGCGCGCTTCCTCGCCTGTCCCCGGTGTGGAACTGTGTGGTGTATTCGGCGGCCTCGCGCGGCGGCGGTAATACCCGATGGGGAATATTTTTCAGCGGTGCAAGGACGACGCGGACGACACGGGCCGCGGCGCGTCGCGCGACGAGCCGCCGCCGGCGAAGGCGCCGCTCCCCGAGGAGGAGGCCAAGGCCCCGCCGAGCCACGCCCACGACCACGGCCACGGCCACGGCCACGACCACGGCGGCGGCGAGCACGCCCAGGTCATCTCGCTGGGCACGGCGACCCTGGGCGGCGGGACGCTCATGGCCGACCGCGAGGGCGAGTGCGCGGCCGGGGCCGCGACGACGTTCGGCGTCGAGGCGCTCGACGGCGCGGCGCCGCCGACGGAGGCCTGGGTCGAGAGCGGCCACCACGAGCGGCTCTGCGAGCCCGTGCGCGCCGAGGACCACGCGGGCACGCACTGGCACTTCACGATCACGCCCGGCGGCGACGAGGTGCCGAGGTATCTGGTCGTCTGCAGCGACGAGGACCACATCGCGCGCTTCGCGCTGTTCCCCGGGGCGGCGCCGGCCCGCGGGGGCATCCTGGCGCCGCTCTACGTCGCCGGCGGCGACCACGCGGGCTTCCTGGAGCTCAAGCTCCACGACGACCTCGGGGACTTGGAGCTCTGGCTCACGGATCTCAAGGGCGGGCCTCTGGACGTGCCCCACTCCGCGTTCGTGGCCCTCAAGTGCGCGTCCCTGGGCCGGGCCGTCAAGCTCGGCATCCGGAACCTCGACTCGAACGAGGACGAGGACGGCGTGCCCAACATGCGCGACGGCGAGACGAACTACTTCATCTTCCCCGCGGTGCCGGGCACGGACGCGTCCTGGCTCAAGGGCACCGAGTGGCGCGCGGCCGTCGAGGTGCGCATCTCCGCCGGCGACGGCGCGTCCCTCGAGGCGAAGCCCTTCATCCTCGTGCCCCACTCCGTCCTGTGAGAGAGGGGCGACCCCTTGAGCACCCCCGGCGCCGCGGTGTTTGAAGGATCCTCGGCCGACGCTGCCCCGATGCAACCACTGCTCTTAGGAAGGATGGGCTGCGCGGCCGCACGCGCGCGGCGCCGCGGCGGGCGCGCCGTCGCCGCGCCGTGACCCCGCGGAGGTCCGCAGCGATGGGCTGGCGGCGGTGCCTCGGCCTCGTCCTCGCCGTGCTCGAGCGGCGCGGCGAAGGGCTGACCGTGTCCTCCGACGGCGAGCTCGCCGCCGCGCTCGCGAACTGCAGCAACGCCACGCTCGACGGCGCGTCCTTCGCGCTCGCGGAGACGGCGGTGCTGCGCGGCGCGAACTGCCGCGTCGTCGTCGACGGGTCCGCGGCCGCCGCGGCCTTTGGCGCGCGGCCGACGCTCCGGGCGGCCGCCGGCGGCCGCGTCCTCGACGTCCGGGGCGCCGCGCTCGTGCTGAAATCCGTCGCGCTCGCGGGCTGCGACGCGGCGAGCGACGACGGCGCCTGCGTCGCGGCCTCCGCGGGGACCGTCCGCCTCGACGACTGCGCCGGCGCCGGCGGCGCCGTCGCCCGCGTCGCGGACGGCGCGGCGCTCGTCGCCGTCGGCGGCTCCTACGCGGGCGGCGGCTACGCCTTCGCGGCCCATGGGGCGTCCGCGACCGTCGACGGCGGCGCCTACGCCGGCGGCGGCGTCCTGCGGCTCGAGGGCGGCGCGGCCGCGGCCGTCGTCGGAGGGACTTTCGCGAACGGCACGACGGCCGTCGACGCGGCGGACTCGAACGTCACGGTCCGCGGCGGCGCCTTCTCCGGCTTCGCCGGGCCGGTCCTGCGCGCGCGGGGAGGCAGCGCCGTCGTCGTCCTCGGCGGGTCCTACGACGGCCCGTCGTCCGACGGCTTCGCCGTCGCGGGCCGCGGCGGCGCCGTGGACGTCGCCGGCGGCACCTTCCGCTTCGCGTCGCGGGAGGCCGGCGCCGCGCTCGTCAACGGCAGCGGCGCCGTCGCCGTGTCCGGCGCGTTTCTACGGGTCGGCGACCGCTGGTGCGCCGTGCTCGCGGCCGGCGCGGAGGGCGCGTTCGCCGTCGGCGGTTTCGCGGGGCCGCTCGCGCGGACCTACGCGAGCGCGGGAGCCTACGCCGCCGCCGCGGCCTGCCTCGCCGAGGCGACGTGCTACGAGATCACCGCGACGGGCGCGGCCGCGGGCTGGACCTTCGCCGGCCGCGACTACGCGGGCGACGGCGTCGTGCCCTTCTCGCTCGGCGCCGACCTGTGTGCGAATCAAATCTTCAACCCGACTTCAATGTGATCGTACGCGACAGTTTCGACCTTTTCGGCTCTGCTTCGAGAACTCGATGAGAGCGATCGATCCGTCCAAAAATCAGCCGAATCGACTTCGATTTGACCGAGCTAGAGAATTTTAAAGTTTCGTCGGGACGTCCCAAACCAGTGGTTGATTTCCACACAGGCGCCGACGGCGCGCCCGCGGCGTCCAACGCGACGTGCCCGCGGAGCTCCCGGAGCGGCGGCGACGCGGGCCGCGACCTCGACCTGCTCCTCGCCTACAGCGTCGTCGTCCTCGCGATCATCGGCGCCGTGGCTCTCAGCGTGACCGGCTGCTACGTCGCGCGGCGCTCCGCGGACGACGTCGAGAAGCCGCGCCAGGTCGCGCCCGGCGACTCGAGCCCGCTCCCGGGCCGCCAGACCGTCGCCGCGCCCCTCGTCGCGACCGCGCCGACGGACCTCGCGGCCGTCTCCGCGCGGACGGCGCTCGACCTCGCCGCCATCACGCTGCCCGCGGGCGACGCCGTCGTCGTCGTCGCCGTCGCCGCCGGGGCGCCGGGCGCGCGCCAGACCCTGAGCGTGAACTTCGTGCCCCCCGCGCGGCACCGGGCCGCGGCGCCCGCGGTCGCGGCGCTGCGCGCCGCGCGCGACAACCTCGCGGACGCCGCGGCGCCCGCGAGCGAGCAGGCGGACCTGAGGGCGCTTCTGACGCATGTGCTGGTGCCCTTCCTCGGCGCCTACGCGGCCTGCGCGGCCAACGAGAAGACGCTCGTGATTCTTCAGCGCGCGCGCGCCGCGAAGACGCGCGCGCTGCTCCGGTGCTACGAGCGCGGCGCGGCGGCCGTCGCCGCGGAGGGCGTCGGGCCCGTCGCGGCGGTCTGCGCGGGCCTGCCCGCCGCGCCGCCGCCGGCGCAGCCCAGCGGCGACGCGCCCGCGCTCTACGCGGCCGCGGCCAGGGCCCGCGACGCGCTCGGCGCGGTCGCGAAAGCCGTCGCGGCGGACGCGGGCGGCGAGGCGACGGCGCCGGCGCTCAAGTGCATCTTCCGCGCCTGCGAGAAGGCGGCGCTCGGCGGCCGCACGCTCGCCGACGTCACGGACGTCCTCCGCGCGCGCGTCGCGTGCCCGACGGCCGCGGCCGTCGCGGCCGCGGTCCGCGCGGCCGCGGCCCGGGCGACGGTGCTGCGCTGCGTCGACGGCTTCGCGGCCCTGGCCGCGGCGCCCTGGTCGTCCGTCGTCTGCCTGGAACTCCAGCTCGACGGCGTCGTCGCCGAGCTCGCGGTGGCGCACGCCGCGCTCGACGCCGTCGACCCCTGTGTGGAAATCAACCAGTGAGCTGGGACGTCGGGGCCAAACTTGAGAATTCTCTAGCTCGGTCAAATCGAAGTCGATTCGGCTGATTTTTGGACGGATCGATCGCTCTCGTCGAGTTCTCGAAGCCCAGTCGAAGGGCTTGTGTCAAAACATTCGAATAAGCGCACATTGAAGTCGGGTTGAAGATTTGATTTCCACACAGGTCGACCCGCCGCGCGACGACGTCCTATCGCTCCGCGCCGCGAGCGCCATCCTCGAGCTCCACGGCAAGGGCGACGACCGCCCGCGCGAGGAGACCAAGGACGACGGGCCCCCGGCGACCGAGGCCCGCGCCGCGGCGCCCGTCGCCGCGCCCGCGCCGCCGGACCGCGCCGCGGCGCCGCCGGCCGCGGCGCCGCCGGAGCCCGAGCCCGCGCGGCGCGGCTCGGGCAAGAACCGCCTCCCGCCCCTCGACCGCGCGCCGGCGGCCGAGTGACGCGGGCCTCTGTAGAAATCCATGGGGTGGGCTTGCTTCTTTTGTTGCCCAGGGAGCCCTTGGGTGGGGACTGGTCGGGGACTTGCCAAGGCGCCAGTGCCACCCCGGCGGCCGACGGCGAGTCAGCCAAAGTGGAAAAGCGCGACGACCTCCACACCTACTCGACCTTCCACGCTCACCGCACGTTCGCCACACCTCACACTCACACCTCGTACTTCTCTCGTAGCCTCCCGGCGTCCCAACAAGTCCCCCTCCCCGAAAAGCCCCGCTATTACGCCCCCTTTTCCCGCCGCCCGCGCCATCCCCAAAAAAAACTTCCCCACGACCGCGATCGCGCCCGTCCGCCCCCGGGGGGAGGCGTCGTCCCTCGGGGCGCGGTCGTCGTCGCCCCGGGGGGCGGCGGTGGCCCGCCGGCGGCGTGGTCCGCGGCGGGCACCTCGACGACGGCGAAGAGCGAGTCGCTCTTGCGCGGCGCGGCCGGCGGCCGGCGCGACCGGACCCGCTCCGCTACGTCTTCGAGTCCTCGGTGCACGCCAAGCGCATGTAAGCCCGGCCTCCCACCTCGTGGCCCGCCGGCGGCGTGGTCCGCGGCGGGCACCTCGACGACGGCGAAGAGCGACTCGCTCTTGCGCGGCGCGGCCGGCGGCCGGCGCGCCGGGACCCGCTCCGCTACGTCTTCGAGTCCTCGGTGCACGCCAAGCGCATGCAAGCCCGGCCTCCCACCTCGCGGCCCGCCGGCGGCGTGGTCCGCGGCGGGCACCTCGACGACGGCGAAGAGCGACTCGCTCTTGCGCGGCGCGTCCGGTGGCCGGCGCGCCGGGACCCGCTCCGCTACGTCTTCGAGTCCTCGGTGCACGCCAAGCGCATGCAAGCCCGGCCTCCCACCTCGCGGCCCGCCGGCGGCGTGGTCCGCGGCGGGCACCTCGACGACGGCGACTCGCTCTTCCGCGGCACGGCCGGCGGCCGGCGCGCCGGGACCCGCTCCGCTACGTCTTCGAGTCCTCGGTGCACGCCAAGCGCATGCAAGCCCGGCCTCCCACCTCGCGGCCCGCCGGCGGCGTGGTCCGCGGCGGGCACCTCGACGACGGCGAAGAGCGACTCGCTCTTGCGCGGCGCGGCCGGCGGCCGGCGCGCCGGGACCCGCTCCGCTACGTCTTCGAGTCCTCGGTGCACGCCAAGCGCATGCAAGCCCGGCCTCCCACCTCGCGGCCCGCCGGCGGCGTGGTCCGCGGCGGGCACCTCGACGACGGCGAAGAGCGAGTCGCTCTTCCGCGGCGCGGCCGGCGGCCGGCCTCCCGGCCGTCGGCGGACGTGCCTGAAAGGTCTTCAACCCCTGATTCGCGCGCCTCGTCCGTCGATCGTCGCCGCGGAACGCGTTCCCGACCCCGCAGCCGCCCGCAGGCATCGCGAGTTCAACCATGAAGATCTCCCCTGCGCTCATCGTCTTCCCCCTGATCGTCGCCGCGGCGACGGAGCCCGTTACGGCCAAGTCACCGATCGAGAAGTTCGACGCCGGGAAGGGCGACCCGGTCTTTGAGGACCTCCTCCAACCGGCCGCGCGGCGCCGCGCGCTCAAGCCGGGGGAGGGCAAGGCGGCCTCCGAAGCTGCTCCGCAGAACCAGGTCAGCGTGGTGCTCGAGGGCCGCCACGTGCCCGACTACGAGGCGGTGCCGTCCGACGACGTCGAGAACTCAGCCCGCCATCTCTCGGAAGCGTGTGTGGACTCGGAGGCGTGGTTCTCGGAGATGTGGTTCAATGGCACCAAGAAGCCCAGGAACTGCGCGTGGGTCGCCGAGGCGCCCAGGAAGCGCTGCGATGCCTCGGTCAAGTCCGAGAGCCTTCCGGTCACTATACACCGTCTTGACCGGAAGGCAAAGTACGCGTGCCGCGCGACGTGCTCCACGTGTGGAGCCCGACCCCGAGATTGGTTTCTATACACCAAAACACAATTATATAACCAGTATGGTCTCGAGGAGTACGCGTTTGCGCACCAGCATCGTCTGCCGACATCCTGGCATCTCGTATCTTCGCCCTTCCGAAACGCTTCCCGGTGTTTGGTTGTGAAGAAGAGCAAGTGTGCAGGATTCTGCGTTAGGAACAATGACGAGTGCGTTACCCATGGCGAGGTTGACGGCGCAGGCAGGACGAACGTCCGGCAGACGAACGTCTGCGACGCCGTCGAATGTTGCCAAAACTGCTGGGCTAAAATGAAGATGACTCGGGCCATTGCAGATGCACATTGGGAAGACTTGGAGCGCGACTGCCAGGAATTACAAGTAACACAACATCCGGTCATGTTTATCAACTTCGTTTTAGCGACTAACCACACGCGCCTTGCAATGCATCCACTCTGGAAGAAGACCTGCCTGCAAAAGACGCTCAGAATATTCTCGTACGAGCCTCCGATATACCACATGCCCGTGGCGGCGGACTCGTTGATGTTCAAGCGGAATGCGTTTCTCACCGTCCCTTACACAACCGTGAATAAAGTGAATCGCGTCTCGCTTTCGTTGCGACCGTGGCGCTACCTGGGCGCATTCGATAGAAAAAGGGGTGACAGGCCGATTCGCCACGCCCTAGTTGAATATTTGAACGGTACAGAACATCATCGGTCTGGCTCTAAGGTATGTGGTGGGAAACGCGACGGCGAAGAGAAATGTAACGAATCAAACGCCGATTTCTGTCTCGAACCTCCTGGCGACACACCGACGCGGTCCCACTTTTACTACGCAATCGCGCAAGGCTGCTTGCCAGTGATCTTTGAGCCGTCTGACCTGCGTTACCCGTACATGGGAAGCGCTCAAGATTTGCGCTCTTTGTCTGTTGATTGGGCGTGGCGAGAGCCGCTCGACATTCCGAGCTTCGCAGTTGTCGTCACTGATCCAAATGTGAGTGCTGTTTTCGAGCGACTACTCACCATGTCAGTTGATGAAATAATTCAGCGCAAGTCTCGCCTTGAAAAAGTCCAGGACTTGTATGTGTACAAGGATACAGGCCCGGACGCTTTCCAGGCAGTTATAGATGAGTCGCTCGAACGCTGGCCCGACCTTAAATATGACTGAATAGAGTCAAGATTTTTTTTCATGCCAGAGGGGGCGTACATCCGGGATGGGTTATCGAGACACGTGGCCGTCTGCATGTATAGGATGAGGCAGGAGACACGCTCCGAGTGGTTGAGGTTGAAGAGCGCGTCGACGGGCGCTACAGCTCGGCCTGCTTGTAGCTCGGCCTTCACCTGCGCCTCGCAGGCCACTCGGAATAAATCCACGTCCTCGCCGTCGTAGCCCGAAAAAAAAAATCTGTTCAGCGTAGAGTCGAAGGAGTTCAGACCTATGAGGGAGGGATGTGGTGAAATGTATGATGCGGAGGGGTGGTTGCCGCCGGAAGCGAAGTATCGCGCCAGACGACGGGCGGAGGAGATTTCTACAACTGCGGCGGCGTGACGCCCTTGCACTGCGTCGTGGGCGAACACGATGATGACGAAGACGAGGCCCGCGCGGAGTGCGTCGCCGCGCTGATCAAGGCCGGCGCGTCGCTCGATCTGCGGGATCACAGCTTCTCGACGCCAATTCAAGACGCGGCGGAAAACGGACTGGTGGAGTGCGCCGGCGTCCTCGTCGCGGCGGAGAAGCGGCGCTTCCTCTCGAGGCTGCTCGCCGACTGCCTCCCCCTGCCCAAGGACCTGCAGCTCGTCGTCTTGGACTTTGTCTTGTCCCTCAACGGCGAGCTCGGTGAGTTTACCGATTCCGAGTCGGAGGACTCGGACGAGGAGGCGTCCGAGGAGGACGAGTCCGACGACGACGCGAACGACGACGACGAGGAGCGGACCGTGGAATCGGATGGCACGGGCGATTACTAGGGGGTTAACATCCGTGGTTGCACCTCAACAACCCAGAGCCGGCGCGGAGCACCTCGCGACCACCGCCGCGCACGCCGCCGCCACCGCCGCCACCGCGCAGCGCCGCGCACGCCGCCGCTGCGCAGCGCCGCGCCGCGCCCGCGCGCAGCACCGCTTCGCGAAGCATTCCACCGATGGCGCTGCACCGCGAGCTGGTCTGGATCAAGGCCGTGGCGTTTTTGACGTGCCTGATGTCCGTGGCCTGGGGCCGGTACCAGATCGCCTACCTCGTCGCGCTGGGCCTCGCGCCGTCGCGCATCGGCCTGCTGCGCGCCGCGGGCCTCGGCGCCAAGTTCGTCGCGACGCCGCTCTGGGGCGCGTGGGCCGACGTCCACGCGAACTCGACGTTCCCGGTCTGCGTCGCCGTCGTCGCGGTCGTCGCGCTGCTCGAGCTCTACCGGTCGCCGGCCGTCGTCGCGTCCTTCGGCTGGCTCTTCGCCCTGAAGATGGCGCGGTCCGCGGCGAACGGCGTCGGCGCGCTCGCGGACGCGCTCACGTTGCGCGTCATCGAGCGGCATCCCGGCGCGGGCTACGGCGCGCAGCGCCTCTGGACGGGCGTCGCCTGGGGCTGCGGCTCCTACGTCGTCGGGTCGTGCATCGACGCCTACGGCTACGACGCCATCTTCCTCTGGACCTACGCCTTCGGCGGCGCGACGCTCCTCCTGCTCGCGCGCGGCCCGGCGTTCGCGCGCGCGGGCGACTCGGGCGCGCCGTCGCCGCGGCTCGCCCGGCGGGGCCCGCTGGGGAACCTCTGGGCCTACGTGCGGGGCCTGGACCGCGGCGGCGACATGCGGCCGTTCCTGCTGCTCATGTGCCTCTACGGCGTCGCGATGTCGCTCGTCGAGGCGCTGCTCTTCCTCCAGATGGCGCGCGAGTTCGAGTCGACGAAGGCGCTCATGGGCCTCGTGACGCTCGTGGGCACGCTCACGGAGTACCCCTTCTTCCTCCGGTCCGACGCGCTCATCCGGCGCTTCGGCCAGGTCAAGATGCTGCGGGTCGCGCACGCGTGCCTCGCGGCGCGCCTCGCGCTCCTGGCCTGCGTGACCAAGGCGACGGCGCCCGTCGCGCTGCCCTGCCTCCAGCTCCTCCACGGGCCCTGCTT